TTTTTACTTTCATCGGCATACATGGCGCAATTTGATACTAGGCTTCGTATGCTCATACCTACACAAGCCTTCCATACTTATAATAGGCGGTGGCGATACCTTAACATTTTTCTAAGTATAAAACAATATTTCATGCTCCGGAATTGCTTTTCAATTGGTTGTCGAAAACTTGGCATCAGAGCCGACGATATCTGCCACATGGCCGACGTTCTCAATTGCGCCCATTGCAGATTGTCGCTTTTTTGTTGAGATAATTCGACTATTAGCTTTATACACATTTTAATGGAGTCTTAATAATTAAGGAAAATCACTAGAATCAGTGAAGCTAACTTCTGCATGAAACTTCGCTATATTTCGAAATCGGAGCTTTTATTTATGCTCTACAAGGAAATTTTTTACACATTGTTTTTTTCTTTAATTTGGACATTATCGTTTATTTTTTATCAATCACTGCCAATTAACAAATAGATTGATAACTATTTTTCCTAATTGTCGCCTTTAACATCTAGAATATACGAACCCGAATCAGCTGTTTCACTGACCGCAGGACTGATACATTTTTAATCGTTTTTTATAGGTCGAACCAGGCCATGTGGTGGTGGTTGGCGCCGCCAGCCGAGGAATCATTTCTCGTGGGCACCAGTACGATCCAAATGTATACCAGGCTGTGTACTCTCCAAATCCCTTCGATCGAGTAACTGATGACGACATAGAAAGGTGATTACAACCTATCCTTTTTACTTTCGGAAGACATAACTTTTTTGCTATTCATAATGCTGCAAGACGCACTAAATCATTCTAGCTACATTAGTTAATCTATTTTCGCTCAAATATTTAATGCAAACTATAGAAATATTTTTCGGTCAACTGTGCGCTTTGTGCGATATAGCTTCCCCATCGCGTTGGAATGCACAACTATCCCATACATCTATTGATTCATGTGCTTCTATATTATTTTTCCCTTTTAATCAACATCATTTTTTTCTATACCTAATCTTATGATATTTCTCAATTCTCCTGTTAGATACAAAGAGAATGTAGAACGCAAAATAAAGGGACTTCCTTCACTAGAAGAAGAAGAGGCTGCCATAGCTGCCGAGCTAGCTAGACAGGAGGCTATAGCGGCAATGCAAGAGGCTTCAACTATATGTGTCGAAAAGACGGCCAGAACTGCTCAGCCACGACGTACGTCTATCTTTTCCCCTTCCCGAACTATGGACTTCGGTCCTTTTGGCTTCTCATTCAATATTGCCTTAGCCACCCTTATGTGTATATTTTTTTACTATCCCTACGAATATTTTCGGCGAATCGTACTAGTTTATAGAAGTGCGTATTATGCTATAGTTCTAATTTTTGTGCATGCTACTCCACATGATACATGTTTGCAGTTTATACTTGAATTAGCCCTATTTGTGAAATA